ATTTATAAATCACATTAATTGAATTATCACATTGTTGCATGTTTAACTAGCTCTATTGTGATGAATTAAACTAGAACCTCACTGTTAAAAGCTCGTTTTAATTTCAAGCATGTTTAAGTATTTATGGACATGAACAAAAACAGGAAATATATAAATTGAGATGTATTTAACAAATAAGGGGGAAAGAGTCATTGAAAGGCACATTCTTCTGGAAGCTCCTGATCCTGACGACACCAGCAGAGACCAGCTGCAGACACCAGAGGACCTAGAACCAAGAGAGCAGCTGGTATCAGTAAATAAATAATGAAATCAGGGCAGTTTTAGTGGGCTGAACACATTACAGAATAATTTTCTCATGGGATATTTTCATAACTTTCTGCAGCAGACTGTAACTTGAGCCCAGGGCTCCTGGAGCTGCTATCCAGCACGTTTCAGTGGATTTTCCTACTTTAACAGGTTAGATTAGCTGTTAAGCAGCTCAGCTGTTTGTTGCTGATTAAAACCAGGTGTGCTGAAGCAGATAAACCTCTAAAACATGCTGAATACTAGCTCTCTAGGGCTGTGGAGCCAAACCCTGCAGCTAATCTGATGCTATGGCTAACGGCTACTTACCATTCAGAGCTGGTTCTGTTGGGTCGGTTCCGCTAGTTTCAGGCAACTCACAAGCTCAAAACAATAAGGCTCAGGTCCGCTTGTCTCCTCCAAATAGACTTGGTCCCTTTCTTCTCGAGTGTCTGGGTAAGGAGGGGGAGAAACGTCCTCCACTTCTAATAAGTGCTCAGAGTTAAGGGAGCTAGCATCGTCTAGTTAGCCATCGTCTTCGTCACTGCCGCGGCTCCGCCCTCTCGGTCCTCCAGGCAATGCCTACTAATGTGGCAGTTTTTAAAAATGATACGTGGGTGGAGTTAGACTCTGAGGGGGACATTACCACCTCTTTAAGATCCAAACCTGTTAAATCATTCTTTTTTGTAGACTTAATATAAAGTGAAGAACTTTGTCATCTGGGTGAATCTCAATGTGAAACTGCGGCTCTTTTGCTTTGATAGCTGTCAGTCAAATGTGTTTGAGCATCTGAGAAGAATATCCTGCAGATGCCTCCCTCTGCAGAGTTTTCAGGCCCACTGAGTGACAACCATGGGAAGCCCTTGTCATGGTCTGCGTCTGCCCCTTCCTTCATGTGTCTCCTGATGTTTCTCCATCCTCTCTAGATTCCCTTCTGTGTCTCATAGCGCCCTCATGTGTCCTTTGTCTGTGTCTCAATTATGTGTCTTATGTTTGTAGCCCATTAAAGTCAATTCCTCCCAGGTCCTGTGTCATTCATTCATCCCCAGCCCTCCAGGTCTTCCTTCACATTCTGTAGCTCCAGCCTCTTTGTCCCCAGCTCGGTGTGTGTGTGTGTGTGTGTGTGTGTGTGTGTGTGTGTGTGTGTGTGTGTGTGTGTGTGTGTCCATTCTCCAGTTCATTGTATGTGTATGTGTTTGTGTGAGTCCTTCCCTCAGTCAGGTTGAGGCCCTGTCCACACGTAGCCGGGGATCTGCCAAAACGTAGATATTTTTCTACGTTTTGGCCTGTCATTCACACGAAAACGGATCTTTTTAAAAACTCCGGCCAAAGTGAAGATCTGCGTTTTCCCCGTTTTGGGTGTCTGCGTGTGGACAGACAAAACCGGAGTTTTAAGGTCCGCAACGTCACTTTCCGCGACAATAAATGCTGACATCACGTGTGTGACCTGTGTTTACACTAGCCGACATCATGGATGCCCTCAGAGCTGCGCTCGCTTTATCAATTGTCCAAGCGCTTTTTGCTCGTTTGTTTTTGCAAGCGGAATTACTGCTCCTTGTGGAAGACCACAGACGAAGGACGAGGTTAATAACGGGGGAAGTACTGCCACCTACAGGTCTGGCATGTCCTTAACAACGTATTTATCCGGGTACGTGTGGACAGAGTTTGTTTTAAAACAAGGTGGTGTGGATGCAAGTTTTTGGAGGGGCGGATATTCATTTTCAAAAAACCTCGGCTACGTGTGGACTAGGCCTAAGTTTTAGGTTTAAGTTTTTCTGCCCTCCACTGGTTCTGTTTTCCCCATTTAGAAAATTTGTGTCACCTGCCTTCCCTCCAGCCCTCACTCCACACACCTGCTTCCTGTTTCCTTAATTGCTCTCCCTGTTTATTTAAGCCCTGTCTTGTCTCTGTTTGGTGTCGGTCCATTGCGGTATTTCTGTCAAGTCTTCTCTAGTCTCTAGCTTAGAATCTCAGTCTTTTCTAGTCTTAGTGTTTTGTCTCTAGCTCAGTAATTCAATATTTTTGGACTACTGGCTCCCTGCCTTTGGATTTATTTTTGTTTGATCTCGGCTCATCCAAATAAAGGATATTTTCTTATTTCATCTTCTGCCTCGTGCCATCTTGGGTTCTGCTTTTTGGGTCCTACCAACACCGCAACGTGACAGCCCTAGAAACTGCTTTGGGCATTATATATCCTCAATATCCTGGAAACGTCCTGAGATACCATAGTAGCAGTTAAAAAGTCTTGCTCGGGAGAGGGATGCATAAATGAGGAAGTGTACAGTCTGTCTCGGGCTAAGCAATCAGCTTTTTATTGTCTCACCAATGTTGCATTTCTGACTTAGTTAAAGGTTTGTCAGCCCTCTCTGGGTGTCCCTGGTGCCTTGGGGCCCCTAAGCATTGCCTGTTGGCCTGCAGCGCCTCTGGGTGGGTGGGTTATTGGCTGGGGTCGACCGATGTAAACTAGCCACTAGCTATAATCTAACATTCTTGCAGATGAAAAAGAAAAACAACATTATTTGGAGCAGAAATTAGCATATCATCTATGACACTTGATGTGAGATTGTCATATTTCTGCCTGAGTAATTGTTAATTGTTCAAATGACAGAGACCTAATTTGCCATTTTTCCAACTGGGTTTAACCGTTAGCTCATCTGTTTGATCAGAACTAGCCTCTGATTCTCCAAACTGACTGCATCAAACAACAGATAAGGCAAGGCAGCTTTATTTATACAGCACGTTGCATACACAGAAGCAATTCAATGTGCTGTCCGTTAGCAAGCATAGCAAGATCATTAAAATCAACACAACAGAAAATATCATTTAAAATTAAACAGAAACAAAGTTAAAGTTGAGGTTCAAGTGTGAGCAGTTACAGTGCAGAATGCAGCATAACAGTAATTCGAAGGCTGATGAAAACAAAGGTTTTCAATTTAGATTTAAATGTTACTAGAGTCGGGGCACATTTGAGGCTACGAGGAAGCTGGTTCCATCTGTGTGCAGCATGGCAGCTTCACCCTGTTTGGTTCCACCAGCTGACTGTTTCCTTAAGATCTCAGAGCCCTGCTGGGCGTGTATACCTGAAGATGATAAAACGCTGACCTAGTTATAGCCTTAATGTGACCAGTGAAGCCGAGGTCTGAATAAATTATGACACCAAGATTTGTAACCTGGATCTTTGTCTTTATTCCTCTGGAGCCCAGTTTAGCAAAAACCTCCATCCTATCCTTCGTATTTTAAAAGACGACAACTTCAGTCTTGTCTTTGTTTAACTGGAGGTAGTTTGACTGCATCCAGTCATTATGTTGCTCCAAACACTGACAGAGCGAGTCCAGGGGACCACAGTCACTAGGTGATAGAGCTAGATAGATCTGGGTGTCATCTGCATAACTATGATAGACAATGTTATTACTGTAAATGACCTGACCCAGGGGGGAATGAAGAGATTGAAGAGCAGGGGTCCAAGAATTGAGCCTTAGGGGACACCGCATGTCATGGTGATCAGCTTTGATTTGTGATCACCAGTAGAAACAACACAACTCCTGTCTTCAAGATAAGATCAGAACCAACTCTGCCTGACAGTCCCACTCAGGTTATGAGCCTATCAAGAAGAATGGCTGCACTGGGATCGAGCATCATCAGGACAGATATTTTGCTTGAATCTATATTTTAATGAACATCGTTTATTACCTTAATAAGTGCAGTGTCAGTGCTGTGGTGTTGTCTGAAGCCTGACTGAAAACCATCTAGCAGGTTTTTGTCTCAAGGAAGTTCTTTGGTGATTTAAAAGTGAATCAGCACAGCTGGTTGTTAGACTTGTTTACGTATTCATGCGTTCCATAAAAGCTGATAAAGTGCGATCACCCAGACGCCTTCTGAGGTGTGATGTGCAGCAAGTAAGATGGATATCTCAAAAAAACACCATTGATCAGAAAGACCCACATCTTTAACAACAGTGCTTGACACATCCACATCTTTGGTTATGATTAAGTCAAGCGTGCGTCCCAGATTGTGTGCTTGAGTATGGACGTTTTGTTGAACATCAGTCAAGATGAGGCAACATTCATAACTTTTGCAGAAAAATCCACCATACAAAGATCTGAACTACCTATTAAGAAACTGTGTCCACCACATCTTTTAGCCACAAAGAGGTTTTCCTGTGAGATGTGCTCCACGAAGGCAACACGTAAAAACAGCTCGTACTGAACTGGGTTCTGGGTTGATTCGGTGCTATATTCCTGCTGGATCTCCACTTGTGCTTGCAGTTTTATGTTCTCTGATCTTCTAAAGTGAACATGAAACACCATAGGTCCACATGCAGGAGACATGAACCATACGTCTTTTCTACTTGAGGCCCTTTAGGTAATGACAAGGCACCGCCAGCTCTCATTCAGTCTTCAGCTACACTTGTGAATGTACATTATTAGGAAATGCACTTTTCATCACTTACTGGACGCTTTTGCCCTGTGGGGACAATATATAATAAGAGAATTATAAATTACAAACAGTTGACACATATCATTAGAAGAGACCATAAAAGAGCAGTTGGTGGTGTTCCCATAAAGAGCTTCCGTATCCATTTAAGTGTCTGTAATAAAACACAGCCACCACCTCCGGAGCAACCCCTGGCCAATGGGGTTCAACTGAAAAAAATGTTATGCATCCTCCAAAAATGTTTAAGCATCCCGTGTACCTTTTCTGTCAGTCAGTCCTCATCATGCACAGGAAGGACTGACATCAGGGGAGGGAAGTTTTGACTCATTCTCCGTGTTGAGTGCCTCTTCTCTGAGACTTATCTTCCTCCCATCTCACCGTGGACAGGACTGAAACATGGCCCTCTACAGCTTTGGCTTGAAAAGGTAAATATCTTGCTTTTACTAATATTTTACAGTTAAACATTCAATCTTACCTGAAAAGATTCTCCACTAAAAGCAAAACACTCCAAAGCTTCTCTTTTCCTATTGGTTAGCTTGGGGAAAACTGATAATAAATCAAATAATGTACACGTTCTCTAATATTAATCCTTTAACTGGCAGGTCAGTTGCTTGGAAGAGAACACGTTAGTCCCTATTTCTTATCGAAGCACTGATTAAAAAAATGTGTGTGCACTAAGCAAAAAATCTATAGAAAAGGGTGACATTTAGATCCATTTTTTAATTTTATTATTTATGTAATAATTTCCTTAATATTAGCCTTAATGTATTAACATGACTCTGTTGCAGTTACAATTTATGATACAGTGTTTTAACCTTTTTGCCTCTGAAGTAAAAAACAACCCTGGTGTAGAAGTACAGAGGAAAAGCAGAGTTTAATTGATTGAAACTACTTTTTAGTACAGTTTGATTCATTTGTGGTCAGCAAGTTTTCTATTATTAGAAGGGCAAATACAAAAACCAGCCAACATCAAACATCCATATCTTTAACCAACAGCCACTTCCATAAAAGGTTTTCGTTTAAATTCAAACTTATGGTGGTGGGCCTTGGTGGTTGGACGCACTTGTCTCATACGAAATACCGGAAAGGTGAAGTTACATATGTGCATTTGACCCATCCTAATGGGAGCGGTGAGCTGCAGCTGTGGCTGTGCTCGGTAACTGTTTGATGGTTTAACACCCCCCCCCCCCAATCCAAATCCTTAAAGCAGAGCTTCAAGCAGGGAGGCATTGGGTCCTATCTTTTAAAGTCCCAGCCAGGATTTGAACCCTGATTTCCCGGTCCCAGGGCGGACAACAGGTTCTTGAGACGGATATGCATGTCTTGTAGAAGTTTCATGCAGGCGGGATATAAACCTGCAACCTTCTTAGTGTGAGAACCCAATGTGGCAAGCCATTTTAACATTTATTACGCATACTGGTTATGTAGTCCAGATGTTCCCAGTAGAAACTGACATGCCTGATGCCTATAGATCTGTAGACACATAAAGTTTTTAAGGATTTTGAGATATCTCAAACTTAATTCCTACTAGTGCAGTTGATGTTATGGATACCCTAATTATAACTTTTTCTAGTAACATTATAGCTATTGATGTCTTTGTTTGCCATTTTGTTTAGTAAAAATACAGTTAGTACTAGGATACATTTAATTATTGCTAAAGTAAATAGGATTTGCAGAGAAATCCAATTGTTGATTAAATGTTAAAATGGCTTGCCCTATTCTTGTAGTGCAAACAGCTCCTTCATCCAGTCCCCACATGCAGTCCTTTGGTCACACTGGCAATGAAGCAGGCACCAGCTGGGGCTCTGAGGGTGCTTTGTATGTGTTAGTCCCACAGTGCCTCGGCCATTACTCACACCTCATATAAACGTAAGCATTTGCCGTTTCTCACTCAAATTCTTAGATTAGCTAAATTTTGAAGACGTGTTGTGACCTCAGTAACACTTCTCCTACCAAACCGATCTCATCTGGATTGACAAGCCGGTGATCGGGGCTCCAGGCCCACAGAAAAGGAAGATGAATGAAGAAATACACAGTGAGGAGAGAATTACGCTCAGCTACTCATTTACTGATGCAATAAAAAACCTGAACAGCCTTTACCGTCATTTGTCATACACCTTTCCTGATGTTAAAGTCCTAGTTTATTTTTATTTTAAAATATCCTTTTCCCACATTAAAACCACTGGAAAACGAAAAATGATTGTGTCCTACTTAAAATAAATGGTTCAGCTAACAATCTGCAATATTCTAAGTAAAAGTAGCCTATGTGAACTAAGCTGATCTTTTAAAAAACAATTTATAATCACCTTTGTGTTTTATTTTACCAGTTTGCTTTTGAAGTAGCTAGTACAGACTGGATCAGACCAGTTTGGGGACATAGAACTGGTTTATAGTGGTTTATAGTTTTATAGATAACAAAGTCACGATTGGTTCCCATAAGGCCACATTTCAATTCAATTCAATTGTATTTATTTCATTCATTGTAAAAGAAAATTATTTTACACCAAATAATACAACTCGCACCGCTTGAATGAAAACGAGCAGACAGAAGAAACGCGTATATATAGTCTGCCCCTCTCACACGAAAAGAAATCACAACAATAAAATAAACTGTGTATTAATAATAATAATAACTCATCAAATATAACTAAGAGTCAGCTGCCTAGCAGCATGCAAAAAGTTTAATAAGTCAATGCGTGAAAGTGCTGTTCAGTGTAGCACCACGCAGCAAAATCCAACAGCGTTTCAAGAAATCAGGAGAAAATAAGTAAATAAATATCCCAGATTCATCCATATACTTTCTTATCATACCATGTTACACGTCTTTTTAAACATTATAATTTATTTTACTTCTTTTATTTGGAATTCCAGTTTGTTCCATAAGCCGGCTCCATCCACAGAAACACCTCTCCCACACGTTGGTCCTAAACCTGGTTTTCAGAGTTATAACAACTCCGTCTCCTATTAACTTCCCTTTCAGGAAACATTTTTTATATTCATATTTTAGATATTTAACAACTAAGATGCTTTTTCACCCGTTGAACTCATTTGAAAGTTAAGTTTTATGTAAGATAATTATATTTTATGTTCTATGTACTGGAGCAGTGTTGTTGATGCCGAGGGTAAGCACCAGAATGCCACCACAAGGCTGCAAATCAGTGCAATAATGTTTTATTTGAACAGACAGAAAGGAAAATGAGGAAAATGGGATGCGTGATGGATTACTGATTTTCACAAATGTTCCTCTGCAGAAAGCCACTGTGCCATTTATCATCGTCTGCATTCTCCCCCCTATGTGTGGCTCTTCTGTCCCTTCTTGTCCCTCCATCTCTTGGACGTAAGTCACACACTGCACACTCTACAATCACAGACACCTCACAAATCAGGGTATGTTCCCATCAAATGCATACTATTATTACTGCGAATCCGTGTGAACACTAACAGAGGGTGGGCTAACGTTAGCATCCACAAATGCTCACGCTAGGACATTCTCTACTGGATCACAAAAGGCCAGCAGTGGCAGAGAGATTGTGATTCTCAGTGTCAGAGCTTTAAATCAGAGTACTCACTTTTTGATAGTTACAGATTCACTCTGGAAGGCTCACTGATGCATTTACCGTGCGGGTCACATCAGTAGATGTGTAATTTCGTAGAGCTCGCCTCATTATCACAGCAGACACGTGCAACTTCACGTGCCATCCCGACTGTGGTTCACCCACCTCACTGCGCTAATGACTGGCTTTCTGAGCCTAATGCCGCGGCAGGCAGCAACTTTAACCACTTGAGGTTCACAAGCATAGTCAGTTTTCGGTGTTAAGCGGTGGTAAATGTGGGATTTTAAATACCATCTCACCACTTGATGTCGTTTCGCAGCGGTTTATGTGGAACACGGGAACGGCTACCAGATGTGTTGTCTTTCTGTACATTGCTGTGAATGAGCTGACTCAGGCTAATGACTGGTGAGCCCCTGTGGCAGTTCTCCCACCCTCTCACATCTTCATCGTCAGCACTCAAGGGTGGTGCCCTCTTCTGATGCATTCCTGGTATAACCGTTTTTAAAGAGGTGGTAGAAGTTAAACCCACATTTACCTTGTTTTTGTTGAATAGAGGCAGCTTGGAGTGTCTAATGTAGCGTACCAAAAAATAAGTTTTAACAAGTAATAAGCAAGCCACGCCTCCTTACTTCTGACACGTGTGCATGTCCCGAACCATTTCAGCGATATATAAACGCTGTTCACGATAACGCTAAGCACAGAACTACGCTAGGCCAAGCTACTTCTAATGCTAGGCTGAACTCCTACTAGCGCTAGCCTGAGCTGCTAATGCCCTTGTTGACCAAAGGTGGAGCACCACTCGCCTTCCAGGATGTCGTGGGAGTGTCCAGACTATGAATGCATGCCAGATAGGTCCACAGCTTTTAGCCTTGTCACGTCTCGGGCAGCATCATGGAGCCGTTTGGGGTGAACCCAAACAGCCTGCAGCTCATACTCATATCCCGGCTAATTTATGGGATTAGGTTTGGCCGTTCATCAGGGCTCCTGGGTCATCGTGAGCCCCATCAACATTTCATGTGTTATGTAGAGGCTCAAATAATAGTTTCATCTTCATCAAATAGCAAGACTCAGAGGTCTCATGTCTAGACAGGACCTGGATAAAATCATTCATGCATTCATCTCCAGCAGGCTGGACTATTGCATTGGTCTTTTGGTGGGTTTTCCCAAAACAGCTGTGAAGCAACTGCAGCTTATTCAGAACGCTGCTGCTAGAGGCTGAACAAGAACCAGGAGAACCAAACCCATCACTCCGGGTTTTAAAGCTCTACACTGGTTACCATTAAACTACATAATCAATTCCAAAGTACTTCTACTAGTTTATAAACCACTCAACGGTATGGCGCCAGAATACACGCTGGATCTCCCTGAGGTCCTTAGGAAACAGTCAGCTGGTGGAGCCCTGGATCAGAAGCAAACAGGGGGAATCTGCTTTTAGCCACTTTGCTGCACACATGACCCCAAATGTACACCAACTCTAATTTCAAATCAAAATTGAAAACTTTCATGTATTCATCAGCCTTTGAATGAATGTCTCTAACGTTGCACATTCTGCACTGTAACTGCTCACCCTTTAACTTTGTCTTTTTTCCTGATTCTTAAATTGGAAATTAATTTGTGTATTTAGTTTGCTCTAACTGTATTTGTGTATTTTAAATGTGCTGTCTCATTGATTTTAATGTCCATGTTATTCTCACTAAAGGACATTGAATGGCCTCTGTGTGTGAAATGTATTGAGTTAGGGATTCTCCCAGTCTGCATGGCGCTTTCCTTTCCAGTTAAAAAGCTTGTTACATGTGCAGCATCACCACTGTCTTGTGTTTGTGATGTCAGAGCTAGACCTGAGCCGGTTGGACGGTGACACCGTCTGCCCACCAATGAGAAATGGACAAGATGACCTTCCAGGTAAAGAGACTGTTTTTGGACATTTGAACGTAAACACAGCGGTGAGCATCCGTGTAATATAAACGAAAGCATCTGAACAAAGGTGGAACATGTAATTGTTTAAACATGGTGGGCTTTCCAGTGGCTCGAAACAAGCTGAGGTTTCAGACGGGGTCAATGAAATGTTCCGCTTGAGTTTTACAGACTTTATTTGGAACAGCTCAGCAAGAAAGTAATTGCTCAACAACACGTGGCTGGCGTCTGCAGCACACTACAACACACATGGCTTAGGATAAATTAGAACAGGTCTGTGGGTTTGCAGAGAAAATGCGATGCAGTTTGGCATTTTAAAATGTTTGTTCAAATAACCTTGATTACCAACTTTTACAGCAACACACATAAACACCATAATTGATGGCAGTTCTGCAACACACTGTTATGGTAGAAATGAGCCTATTCCTTCCATGAAGCTTTCATTTGTAAATTTTCCTCTGCGTCTTGCGGTCATCGTCATGCGGTTTCCATGCTGTCCAACACAGGTTTCGATCTGATCACCCAGTTTCAGCTGGATGTGATTCCCCTGAAAGGTGTGAAGAAGGTAGATGGCTCCACTCCCCTCCAGGTGGCCTATCGCCTGGACAAAGAGGCCAACTTCCAAATTCCTACAATGTAAGTACAGTAGAAGCAGCTTAAAAGAAAACACATAAAGATAAAATAAAAAACTCAAACGTCAAACAGCCTTCTGACACAGGTGTTGCGTTATTACAGGCACAGCTGCTGCAGCGCGGTGGGAAACATGTAATTGGTAGCAGGAAAACATGTCTGAACATTTTGGGATCCTTCAAACACACAAACTCACAGTAGTTCTTATGTGAGTGTGTTTGTGCACGTTTTAGTAGACACTCCAAAAATGTAAAGGCTTATATTTCACCTTTTCCGTTCAGTGATGAGTTATGTTTTGGGACCTTGAAAGTATTTGGAGTCAAAATGAAAACGTACTAGTTTCCTGAGAAGACTGTAATTAAACCTTCAGCGCCAAACTGACTAAATAATCTGTTTATGTTACCTGGGGCATAAAAGAAAAAACTGATTTCTTCTCATAGTTTTTATTTAAATTTTAAATATTTTTTAATTCACGTTTTAGCCATTAAAGGATTTATGTTTGATTGGCTGCAGTACAAAAATCCTTAGCTTGCTAGTAGACGAACACGATGTGATTCGGATTAAACGTATCTCAAACTAAAAGTAAAATGAGTCAAAATAACATAAATCTGACTTTCTTTTTCTTACTTTGTCCTCCACATGCAGGCTGTCGCTAGCTCTCCCACTCACACATCAAACACTGAAATGAAGCCCCTGCTTTTAAACGTGCACCAGGTTTGGTGGCACAGACGTGAGCGTTGGTGTTTTCCTGCACTCCAACAGCACACCCTGCAGGGCAGAAGTGCCGCGTACTGCAGAGGTCTTGACCCGGGGCAGCACCAAAACCAGAAGTCTGTATTTATTTTATGGGGTTACAGGAAACATTTTAATTGCCTCACCTGGATGGTTTATGGGATGGTAAACGTCCAGCTGTGCTGCCCATCTCATTTCAGCACCCACTGAGAATGCGGCTAGTTAAAAACGCCGCACTCTACCAGTGAGTAACTTATTCATGAACTGTGACAGCTTCTCCATAACTGGTTTATTTTAAATTAAATGTGATCTTACAGTGTATTTAGTTAAAACATTTGTTTCAATGGTTATGATCTAACTTCAGGATAACAGAGGATTTAAAGGGGGACTAAACGTTTGCTTCCTTTCATGGACCTCTACCAAGCATGAAAACAACCCATCCAGTCTTTTTCTGAAAGCGGTTGATTTTTGATGTGCCCAATAGAAGCCGTTTAAAAAATAAATCCCTGTTGGTGACATCACAAATGGGAAAAATCCCCCTCCCCTTTGCCTCTCCAGGATGGAGGAGCAGCAGCTCTACTCAGTGCCCCTCCCATATATTAAAGCAGTAGTTCTCAGTCCTTGTCTGGGAGGGCCAGTGTACCGCACGCTTCAGTCGTTTCTCTGCTCCAGTCCTCTTGATGAAGTGGTTGAATCACCTGTGCTGCAGCTCATCAAGCTTGGCAGAAGTCTGATGAGCTTATGAAGAAAATAAGTCATGATGTGTCTCCTTTAAAAGTGCATGATGTAAAAACCTTGTGTTCAAATGTGGGTACTGCAGCCTATGTTTCTAAACAAAGAGCAACTCACTGCCGTTCTGTGGTATTTCTGGCTGTTACCAGTTACGGCTCAGTGCCAGAAGTTTGCTTCTAATTCACCATTAGCATTGCTAGCTTAATGTTAGCCTTCTTTACCTGGTACTAGCTGGTGGTGGTCGGAGGGACCGGTGGCGCCTGTGCCCGGCAGCCTCACCTCTGTCAGTGCGCCCCAGGGCAGCTGTGGCTACATCGTAGCTCATCCCCACCAGTGTGTGAATGTGTGTGTGTGAATGGATGAATGATACACTGTAGTGTAAAGCGCTTTGGAGTCCTTACTCTGAGAGGTGCTATACAAGAGCGGGTCATTTATCATTAGAATAGAAAAAGGAGGCGGTATCTTCTTAGGGGTACAACAAATAACATCTGACGGCTTTCTTTTCACCGGTTAATAAGCTGCCGCTTTGGCGCTTTTTGTCGGTCGGTCTTGAATCATAAGTGTTGGCGCAGACTCGCTAATGACCCACGGGCTGAATGTAAACAAAGACTCTTTAGCTTTTTAAAAGAACAAAACTGGCAACCCCCGAACCGGCTTAGAAAGAAACCTGCTTCTATGTGATCTTCTCTCTAACATGACTGAGGCATTAGACTGTTTTATACATATTTCACAGTAAATTCTTACTCATTGTGCCTTTAAGTTAAGACTCCACTGGGTGCACGTCTCTCTCTTCACTGACGCTCAGCTAAGGGTGGTTTACTGACCCTTCTCCTTCTCTCCCTCAGGCTTAACTTCCCTCGAGGCTTCCCGGATGAGTACTCCTTCATGACCACCTTCCGCATGATCAAGAACACGGTGAATAAGGTGTGGAATGTTTGGCAAATAGTGGAAGAAGACGGCAACAAACAGGCTGGACTCCGACTGAACGGTGACCAGCAGTCGCTGGAGTATTTCCTGATGGGTGCAGATGGAACGCTACAGACGGTCACCTTCCCTGGTCTTTCTGTGCTTTTCAACACTAAGTGGCACAAGGTGATGGTCGGCGTTGAGCACGACCAGGTCACCCTGTACGTAGACTGCCAGCCTGTGGATCAGAAGCCCATCAAGGGAAAAGGCCCCGTCAACACTGAAGGAGACACTCTCATCGGCAGGCTGGATTCTGATCCGGAGTCCTCTGTTGTGGTAAGTGCAGATGGAGAATTTGTTGTTCCACTTAACCGCGTGCATCAACCCGGCTTTCGAGGCATTGTCAGAGGAACTGTGCTCTCTAACCCTAACCCTAACACACACGGTTATGTGTGCGCTGAACTCCAAAGTGCTGCCGTGACAGCAAAGCTGCTTAGCTGGTTCCAAACATTAAAGCTTGGGGAAAAACGTAATCCCTGCAGAAAATCGCAGTGCTGGAAAATCAAGGTCAGCGGTCTATGAAGAGAGCAGTGGCTGAACACAACAACACTACTGTCCAGTACGCATCCCAAGTTTCACGCTGCTTATTGTGACACATTCACATGAATCAATGGCTGGGTGATGTATTTGTGATAACACGAACGTTTCTCTTTCAGTTTGAGTTGCAGTGGATGCTGATTCACTGTGACCCAAAGCGAGCCCAGAGAGAGAGCTGCAACGAGCTTCCTGCCTCTGAGGTACGGTAATGAGGATTCAGGTCTGCAAAGCCTTTAGAGTACTGCAGTGAGTAGCAGACAGGGTCATTCAGACGAGAGGAAACACAACACGTAGATTACAATTCAGATCAGTGACTTATTGTCACTCAGCATGTCTCCAGACTCCTTTAACACACGTTAAAGAACAAGTTAGTACTCAGGACAGTGTAAACACATTTATAGTTAGGACTCTCTTATGCCAAAGTTTTTAGCTAGTACCTTTTCGGTTTTAGTAAGGATGCCCGATGCTTTCTGCCTATCGTTATCGTCGTCTGGTATTTGTGTTCAAATGTAATGTGGGAAATCACTGGTTTTCACTCTTAACCTTTATGCACATATTATGCACCAAACTCCTAAGCTACCTCCTCTCATTCAAAATGTCATAGTACGACAGCATGAGTTAGAGTTAAAGCCCTAACTTAAACCCATGTCATTGTCATATTCTTCAAAGGTAATTTTCAGAGTTTAAGTAAAACGTGTGGTTTTGTTTTGCTATCAGAGAGGTCCTCACATATGTTGGTACTGGTTTATATCAGCATCAGATATTAAAGGGACATTCCGCCCCAGGTTGCCAGGTTCCCCAGAGTTAGATAAGTGGGGTAAAGGATTTGCAACCAGCCCTGTCATCATAATCTGGCAGTATTTTAATAGCTTTAGCTTAGCATAAACAATGTAAGTGAATGGTAACAGCTAGCATTAAGTTACTCATTGATGATCCTAATATTTCTTGATGACCTGAATAATCATATCAACTGCAAATGAAAACAATAAGTAACACAAAGAAACTGGAGCGGAGTGAGACTTGGGACTTCATTACAACAAATTGTGTAACCTTCCACATATTTCCCAAACTTTGGTGTTCATCGTTTACAAAAGACGTGTTTGATGTTATTCTGCTTCTCTGGGTTGGTGTGCGGTCATTCAGATGTCTACCTTTGAAATGTTGTAGCTTGGAATGAAAATGCCACTCTGCTGCCCAACGTCTCATTCTCTGTAACATCTGCAGTGAAATAAATCAGAATTAGCGTTCTCTGCCACACCTTTCTTGAATTAAATGTCTGAGTAGGCATAAACGTTTCCTGGCCCGGTGCTCTGTTCTAGCTTTCAGGCTAACACGGGGGAGTGGAGGTACTTTGTATTAGAGCTTCACCCTAAAATGACAGCATGAGATTTAGTACTCACTGCTATCATCATGGACATGTGCGCTTCTGCTGACACTTTGGTGAAGGTGGTGTGATTACTTCCATTAACTCATCTTTTATCTGATTTCTCTTGCTTCTGCAGATGTTTGCCAATGCTGAGGTATTTAATTTTTCTACTTTCCTTCTTTTTTTGCTTTGTGATGTTAAGCCACTTTCCTGGTGTTCTGGTGTGGTTACCTGAATCCCTTGTTGCCTGGTACTCTACTCGTTTTCAGGTGGTGGCATTTATATCTTCACACAATTCTAGTCTTACTTTAGTTTCTAAGAGGATTGAAATTTTGCTGAAGAGCCAGTACAGTGCACAGGTCATAAATGATGACAATCGCACATTTAGGCTAAACCATTCTAGTTTTACGGAGATCCCAGCATTGAAAACCTCATTTAACTTGTTGTTGAACATAGGCAGCTTGGGGTGTCAAATTTAGTAAACCAAATGAGTTATTTTGTAATGGCCACGGTTAAATGGTTTGTTCTGAGAAAAGCTGGTTTAACGCATCATAAGTAAGACACACCCCTTAAATTAGCATGTCCAAACCCACTTGGTAGCAGCAATGCTAACCACAGAACATTGCTAGCTTGTGCTACTGCTAAAGTCTTTGTTGGACAGGAGGAAAATAACAATGAAGAATGTCGGAACACACACGTAACATTCCAGGATGAACTAGGAGTATCTAGTATTCCAGATAGATCCATAGCTTGTCTATTGAGTTATCAAGTTATTGTACATCACTGTACACTGAGCTTCTAGCTTCAGGCAGTGTCATAGAGCCATCAAGGAAAACTAGCCATTCAGCATGCAGCTAATTTAATATTTATGTACTGGCCAAGTGGGTGGGATAAAGCCCTATTTAAGGCCATTTGGCAGGGGTCCTGGGCTATTTGAGGCCCCAACATGGTTTCATATGCCATATAGGGGCTCAAAAACCAGTTTCCAGTTGTAAAATATACTTGCTCTTGCCTTTTGATAGGACCTATCTATAGAATCAGTGAGAATTGTAGTATTCAGCACACTTTATAACATTTATAAATAAATCTGTTTTAAACCACAGTTTAACCTTTTCTTAAACCTAACCACATAGTTGCAGTGCCTAACTATTACCAGAATCCTTTCATGCCTAAACCTAACCAAGTATTCAGGATGCAGGAAACCAATCTGTAGCCAAAATGGACCAGTATGTTTATCAATCTCCCCTTCAGTGAGGAAATACTTTCAGGACAACAAGGTCAAAGCACCTCTTCAACCCTAACCCAAAACAAACAGAACATTAAATATTGTTCTTTTGAATGTAATTATCGTGTCTGTAACTGTCCTAACCTCTTCTGGATCCGTGCTACTTGATGACACTTTGCCTTTTATCTCAGCCTGAAAAACCAATTCAAGGCCCCCCAGGCCCCCCTGGCCCTGAAGGCCCCCGAGGGGCTCCAGGAGAAAGTGGCAGGGATGGAAGAGATGTAAGCATGTTCTCCGTCATTTGTTTTGGGTTTGTTATTGTGATTTTTGTTTTTCTTCATGACTTTTTTGCTGTCTCTGCAGGGTCTTCCAGGGTCTCCTGGTGGTCCAGGTGCTCTTGTGAGTGTTTAGTGCAAAACCATTTTTTAACTATACTTTTTATTTAAGGAATGGCGATGCATTTGATTTGCTTGTTTGTTATGTGAAATCCCAATGAAATTATTGATTTTACACATTTTTCCAAGTAGAATGTGGTCTTAATTGTAGCTGTGTGCAATATATATATATTTATATTTTCTCCAATCTTTTGTCTATAAAGATAACAGAATACGTCTGTGAGGTGAGCAGTCACTGTTGTGATTTATTTTGAAGTGCCTCACATTTTATTAGCCTTGGAAATACAGAATTGCTTTACATGGTGGGTCTTACCAAGCATTTGTGTTAAAATGGTACTCAGTATACAATATGAATTTGTTGGTGAGCTCCAGACCAAACCCTTAGAGGCCTTTGTCCTGTTAGCAGGGGATTTTAGCCGTATATCTACGTCACACTGTAAATTAGCATTCATGGACTCAGCATCTTGGCTCACAATTGGGAAAGGCTGCAGATGATTTCTTTTCCAGGTGAGAGCAGAGTGCATCCCAGCTAATATAAGCTAACTGTTAGCATTAGGAACTGCACACCATGCCAGAACTCCTTTAGGCTTGTGTTATTTGTGAAGAAAAAACATCAACGTTGCAAAGCAAATGGAGGTGGTGGGAGAGTTGCGTTGATGTTATGTTTATGTTTATTCATTTAGCAGACGCTTTTATCCAAAGCGACTTGCAATTTATAACCTACAGGGCATGTTGTGATCTGTGGGGGGAACCGGAGTACCCGGAGGAAACCCACGCATGCATGGGAGAACACGCAACTCCACGCAGAAAGGCCACAGCCGAGTTTAGAACCTGCGACCTTCGTGCTGCGAGGCAACAGTGCTAACCACTGCGCCACCATGCAGCCCTGGGTTATCAAATCAAAGGCGAGATGTCGAAATATCATGAATAATAATGAGTAAGCTAACTTCTGGCTAACTTAAACTTCCTGAAACAGGAGCGCTAGAAAGTTTGTCACACAGAGAACAACACACAAGGCATTAAATTATACTAGAGACCACTGCAAATATATTGAATGAACGAACTAACGAACTAATTAGAGCTTTGACAGACACTTTTAAGATCTTCCCCATCCAAAGAGGTTAATTGTTGCCAGTCCCAAAACATTCACCTCTAATGATGATCATTCAGTGGCTCTCACCTCATTTCTCGTGAGGCGTCCATCTGAGCTAAACCCACAGCAGAATGTAAACTGGAACATCTGATCTCTATCTAAGGCGTTGTCAGCCATTGTGCTCTAAAACACCTGGATGCCCATGATTCATTTGTCAGACTGCCCATTCTGGAACTCTGTGTTGAACACCATCATTTCATAAAGAAAGATAGTCGGTAAGCTCTGACTCTCCACATGGTTGTGTCCTTTTACACTTATGTGTTTGGTCCCAAATGACCCATCCAATAAGATTCAGACTAGTTGTCTTTTTCAGATCTCTCTATATTCTCTCATTTAAGCAAAACCAAGAATCCTTTTTGTAAACCATTATATCTGTTTAATCTCAGAAATCCAGCCTGAAGAAACGGGTCAGTTACCCCATGGGACACATTTTACATTAACACACGCCGTCATCTTCTTTAAACTGTCTGAACCTGCACTCTTAAACGTCCCGTCAGGCCCATCCAGTAAACAGAAGCATCCCAGAAGTTATTTCTTGTACCTCCAAGTAGCCAAAGCATTTTTTTTTTTACTTTAGTATTGATTGAAGCAGGCTAGAGGCTAACGCTGAGCTAACAATGCCTCATAATGAATTAGAAGCAAACGGTCAGCTATAAAAATATCTCAAACTACATTTTCAATTGCCAACAACTTGATATCAGTGAAATGAATGTGTGAAGTGAATAATGAGTCAGTTGTGGCATTTTACTTCCTTTAATGAGTTGTTCAGAACAGTAACAGCTAACAGCAAGATGGCAAACAACCAGACTTCCTCTAATGCCAGAGAAAAATTATTGCAAGTGTAGAAAGTGCTCCCTACTACAAAACACACTCGAGTGCCAAGACCAGATATGACAATGTATTTATCTACTTATCAGCTTATTGAGTGTGACTCGTCTTTGTCTTGTAGAATCTTCTGGCGCTGATGCCTAACTGGCAACCGCCATGAAACTCACCAAACGGCAGTGAGAAAGTCACGTTTGGGTTAGAAAACCGCACTGCCGTAACCACATTTGACCATGGGATGTCATTCTTACATATTGCACCTTTAAATAAAAATGTTATTATACAAATAATAATAACAATGATAAGAAGAACAACCTTTTTTATACATGAGAAATAGCAATTAAAAATATGAATTCTAACATCAGTAAAAATTAAGTACCTCCAACCAGCTCGGTGTGTGGTGAAATAAGTTAGAGTTTGGGCTGTTTTCTAAAATATGGTCCTGCTATGTGAAATGAGATGGTGCATTTTCTTATTTAGAGAGGTAGCATACAGTAGCTGGTGAGTTGTCTGCATGATGTTACCCAATGGATGGGGTCCAAATTCCTTTTTTTAAATGAGGGAAAAACTGAAATAATAGTTTTTACTCCAAATGACCGCCAGCCCCATGGATTGGACCTTTCACCATTGCTCCCCAACGAGAAGTCCGTGATTTTGGACTAGGGTGTCAAGATAGACTCTGGTCTACGATGCGATAGTCAGGTGAACTCTGTCGTTCATTCATGTTTCTTATCTACGTCGATCTTAACGAAACAGGAGTTGAAAACTGTAGCCAATGCTTTTATCGTCTCTAGGCTAGAGTACTGCAACTCCCTCTATGCTGGCTCGAGCCAGTCCTTAATGACTCGGCTCCAGCTGGTCCAAGACGCTGTTGCCAGATTATGGAGCACATAAGTGGGAGCATGTTACTCCCCTCCTGACAGCTCTGGACTAGCTACCGGTGAAGAGTTGCATCTTGTTCAAAATCCTGGTCCTTGTTTTTCAATCCCTCTCTGGATCAGCGCCACCATATTTAGCTTCCCTGCTGACCCGTTACGTCCCTGCAAGATTGCTACATTCGGGTCAGAGTGACCTTTTGGGTGATACCGGGATCAAAGCGTAAGTCTAGGGGTGATCGTGCCTTTGCAGTTCTGGGTCCTCGGCTTTGGAACCAATTTCCACAAGAAATCAAGCCGTCCACATTGCTGCCCACTTTTAAAGCAAGGCTTCAGCTGTATTTTAGATCAGTTTCTTAGTTGTTTTTATTCACATTTAAATGTTTTTGATCACAATTTTTATTGTTTTTAGCATTTTTGTTTTGTTTTAATATTTGTATTATAGGGCTGTTTTATTGAACTGCTTCTTTGCACTATGTTCAGCACCTTGGGCCCCCTTGATGGGGATGGGAAGGGGCTTTATAAATAAAATGATTGATTGATTGATTGATTATTTCAGTTAATTTTGATGAAAAACTTGAAAAATATCTGTGTCTG